AAAAATTAAACGAGACTTACCCAGTAAGTTGAAGTTTGATTGGAATTCTTCTCTATCATCAGCAGGAACGGAGGAATCACATGAGATGCGGGCGCATGCGCTACAAGTCATTCTTAAAGGTGAGGAATTTCAGGAAAATAAAAATCTGAAAAATTGATGAACGAAGGAATCACAGGGTTGGGCCCTCAAAAAGGGAGGGCATGTGATTCCTCCGTTCCTGCTGATGATAGAGAAGAATTCCAATCAAACTTCAACTTACTGGGTAAGTCTCGTTTAATTTTTAAATTCTTCTCTATAATCAGCTACGTCACTATGGAATCCCATGAGACTTCAAAGCCCTGTAATTCCGAACCCAAGGGCTAAGTCAAGTGGCAAAGGAAAAAGGACTAAAGTTTCAAGTCCAACACAGTATAATAATATGGTATGTTAATGAAAATTATATTGATAAGAAATGTTAGTAGGCTAAATAATTCGTTAATGTTCTAAACTACTCAAAACTGATTGTCCAAAGTTGTCCGAAATTAAAAGTTTATCATAAAATCTTGCGAAAGTAGTTGCATTGGACCAACCCGCAGATTTGGAAATTTCACGCAAAGAGAGGCCAGATGCTTTGGCTGCTGAAGTCGAGGCAGATCTGCAGCTATGTGCCGTAAAAACATTTGTATCTATGCCAGCCAATTTCATGGTTGATTTCACCCACCGAGAAATTGTCTCTCGAGAAACCGGGTTGTGTGGCTTTTGATAACTTAAAAAGAGTTTCCTATGGGAACCTCTAAAGATACATGTACGTTTTATGTATTCGGTTAGATGTGAAACGATACAAAGGTTTGGATTAGTAGGGAACGCTTTTAATTCCAAAGGTTGAATGTGTTTCCCAGGTTTCGATGTTTTAATTGGTTCTAAAATTGTGATGCGAACCAAATCCAGAAAAGTTTGGATGCCAGAGAGCTCTATACTGTGAATCGTGTGACAACGTTGACCAGTGAGCAAAAGTAAGAGTGTTGTTGTTTTGTGTGTTAATTCTTTGAGACTCAATTTAGAAATGGGGTTAAGCTGATTTAAGTAATCCAAGAGTGTACCAACATCCCATATAGTGTTGTATTTCGGTAGAGCAGGCCTTAGCTCAAAAACGCCCTTGAGAAATCTACAAATAGTAGGGTTTTCACCTATTGATAAACCATTTGACAAAGTAATTATAGACGAAACGGCTGATCTCGCTGTATTTATGGCAGTATAGCCAAGGCCACTGTCAAATAAAGTGGTTAAAAATTCGATACATTGCTCAATGGTAGGGTTGAAAACCTGAATTGAGTTTTGAGCACAATATGTTTTCCAGCAATCAAGGTACGAATTATTTTGTTTTTGGGTTCCAGGTCGCCAAGAGAAAAGTAAAATATGCTTGGCGGAGCTGGATAATTCTGAGGTTGTTATTTTTTGGCTGATAAGAGACATACCACGATATGAAGGTTGTTGCAAAGGGGATGAATCGCAGAAGGGCTCGAAGGCAGCTGAAGCAATCGACGACTTGGCTTCAGTAAAATTGGCTTTGATTTCATCAATTTTGTGGCTGTGGGATACCAAGGTTGTGTAGGCCAGTTTGGAAGCACACAAATTCCCTCTGCTTGGTCTATTTGGATCTTTTTGAGCATTCTGGTTATCAGACTGAAAGGCGGAAAAGCATAAAATTTGTAAGTGGGTCAAGGGTAAATGCATCGATGGCAAAAGCCTCTGGCTCTGGTTTGAATGATACAAATTTGTCAAACTGTTTATTGAGCCTTGATGCAAACAAATCAACTGATGGTGTAAAACCTATATCAGTTAAACATGACTGCAGAATCTTAGAGTTTAATTTCCATTCTGCAGAGGTATTAGCAGAGCGTCGTGACTCCCTATCTGCTTCAATATTTTGTTTTCCAGGGATATGTGCTAGTGTTAACCATATGTTACGTTCAATGCACCAAAGCCAAATTTGTTTACATAAATTGTTACAAGTAATTGAACGGCTAGTACCCATGTGTGACAACACAAGTACTGCTGTTGAGTTATCAGATAAAATTTTTATATGCTTATCTGTTAGATCATTTGCATATGTTTTCAATGCTAGAAAAATAGCATACATTTCCAAATAATTTATGTGATTATGTTTCTCGTCAAACGACCATAGTCCTCCGGTGGAAATATTTTGGCAAGTAGCTCCCCAACCTTGAAGAGACGCATCAGTTTTCATTTCCATAGAAGCATGATTTCGTGTTAATGGCTTAAAAACCCTGGGCAAGTTTTCAATCCACCATTTGATTTCTGTCTTGGCATCAAAGGACAAGCCAATTTGTTTGTTGAAATTGCCTTTGTTTTGTTTAAGAGCCATTGTTTTCTCATGGTCTATTTGACGGTAGAAAAGTGGTCCAAACAATGCCCCTGGAAAGCAAGCAACTATCTTGCCCAAAAGTTGCGCAACATTCCTGATGGAATTTGTTTTGCGATGGAGAATGGTTGAGCAAAGAGCGATTGTGCTATTTCGTTTATCTTGTGTAGGACTTACAGTCATATCCTTACAATTAAGAACAAAACCGAGCATCTTAATTTTCTGACTTGGAATAAAAGTTGATTTACTAGGATGAATGATAAAACCTAACGTTGTTTACTAGGATGAATGATAAAACAGCTTAATTGCCTTCATTACGGTTGCTAAGCATTCCTCAAAAGTGTCGCCTTGCAAATATATGTCATCAATGTAGGCAGATGCTATGTGCCCTTCTTTGTGAAGGGTTGACAAAACCGGTTTTAGAATCTTTGTGAAAGTGCGTGGACAAGAAGAAAGACCATTTGGTAATGAGGTATATTGCAGTAAATTGCCATTAAATTTAAACCTAAGATATTTTCTATCTTCATGGACAACAAAACCACTATAATAAGCATCTTTCAAATCCAAGGATGCCATAAAACAATTGGGTGTAATTAAGTTAGTGATCGTAGTTAATGTGTCCATTTTGAAATGGTGGTACGTCACGCACTGGTTAAATTGTTTAAGATTCAATATCATCCTGTGTGTTCCGTCAGGTTTTGGACGGAGGAAAATAGGCGAAATTATCTGCCCAGCTACTGGCGATGCTGGTTCTAGAACCCCTTTTGATAACAATGTATCAATCTCTTATTGAATGATAGCAAACTCAGTTGGATTGAATTGTGATGTTTTAGAAGCAGGTTTTCAGGAAGAAAATCACATTCAATCTTGACCCCAGAAATGTGCGAAATAATGTCTGGGTCAGCAGTAATTGACTTCCATTCCAGTAGAAATTTTGATACTCTACCAGCTCTAAAGTTTTCACACTCATGTAAAAGTAAAGATATAAGGCAAGGCAAATAAGCAATAAATCCACTTACATTTAACTGTTGCAAATCTATCAAAATTTTTTCCCTGTTTGTTGTGTTTGGCCGGATTTCTGTTGGAACCGGCTGTTTCCCTGGTACGGTTGCTTTTTCTGAAATTGATTCTGGCTGCCCCGCCATAAAAAATCACGCCTTGCATTGTTTTGCTGGGAAGGGCTTTGGATAAACGGTTGCTGTTTATAGCGATTTTTAGGGTTTCCTTTGAAAGCCTTCGCGACCTTGTTTGATTCTTCAGCTTCTTTTAGCTGCTTATTTAAATCTTCACCAAAAAGGTAGGGACCATGTGGGATTTCAGTGATGGAAGTGGTTGATACTCCGGTCTTAGAAGGGGCTTCATAGTGCTTCGTCTGAGAGACGAGATATTTCCAGTCAGGTGACCTAAGAGTGCCAGTGCATCCACTGACTGGGAGACATATTTGTTAATTTCCTCGCGTTGTGAGGAAGAAGCCTCTACAAGGAGAAAATCTGTCGTTTGCAACATTATGTAGGCAACTTTCCGTAAAACTTGTTGCATGTTAGCTAACCTTAGATCTTCCTGTTTCTTATAATATTTAAGATGTTCCCATGCACCTTTGTTGACCTTAATAGGGTGCAGTGCAGTGCAGTTGGCTGGTCTTTTGTATTTGTCAAGAATAATTTTCAATTTTTCAGGGGTTAACGTCTTTCCCCAACGCTTGTTAATTATCTCGGCCAATTTATCATTTACATTAGCGCCGAGATCGTCAGAAGTTTCAAGTGCTTTGGCTAAACCATCAAGAAATTCAGATGTGTCTGGGTCTGCTTAAATTGATGGCCCGGTTGGCTCACTTTGTTTTTTGGCCTTAGTTTTTGCTAATAGATCGTGGGCATCGCCCAGAAGTGAATCAGTATCGTCATCTTCATGAATGCTAAGGCTTTCATCAATGTTATTATCATTGGTAACATTACGCTTTTCTGGTGGCTCGGATTCATCAGGGTCTGATAAATTTCGTTTGGGTTTACTCCGGTGGACGATGAAGCAACAAGCCCAGTGGGCAAAGTCCGGTGGACAAGAGGTTCATTCCGGTGGAAATGTGACGGGCTGGCCGGTGGCCAATTGCCAAACTCCCCCGATGACACTTGATGGAGAAGAGCCGCCATGTTACCCATATTTGTATTTATTTCTAACAAATTTTTGTTTAATGAGGGGTCAATGGAAGGCGAGGTTTCTAATGGAGGTTCCTGCCGTTCCGCTCCATCCTCAGACACAGTTTTGTCCTCTGAATCTGACATTTCTGGAGAAATATGGAGAAATTTAAAATTTTGTTTTTCCCAATTAACTATGAACAAGACTAAATTGATAATGTTTGAGCCGAGTTAAATCAACTAGAAATTGAAAATTTGTACACTTACCAATCTATCGCGACTTGGAAGCTTGTAAAACACGTCGTGATGACTCGCAGCGAAGTCCGCAATGACTTGTAGCGCATGCGCCCGCATCTCATGGGATTCCATAGTGACGTAGCTGATTATAGAGAAGAATTCACACTGCTTGAATGTTAAAAGCTATTTATCTACGTAATCAACAAATTAGAACTCACCATAACAAATACATGGCAATATATTTGCATATCGGCAGGAATGTCTATGAAACTTACGTGGAAAAACGCTTCATTTTACCAAAACAAAATGCAGCTCTTCTATCTCGTAAAATCGTAGTAGCATCAGCATCTTAACCAATGTAATCCGCTTTAAAGTGAATATGAAACGAATTTTTTTATTGAAGTTTCTTACATATGTAGACACGCTAAATCCATATTTTTTGGTTTCAGTGTCAAATTCGTAATAAGTTTTCTGTAATTTGCGGTTAAAGTTGCGAAATTTCATCAAAATTATGGCGGGGCGAAAACGCGGTCGAGTCACGTGCTTTGTAGGCTTGTGACGTCAAGTGTTGGACTCGAAGTAAACACCTTCCAAAACTTTCTATGCGGTTTATCATTTTGCTGGCAAGTTTTTCTTTTTTTTGCTATTGTGAAATCTCAAGCAAGGGAGTATTGTCAACCTTTACGAAAAGGGTGTTAAGAGAATTGAATGCACAACAAATAAGCCTTGGGAAACGCAATTTTAGATGACTTTGCGAGTTTATGACTTCACAAAAGAATTGAGAAACATGCAAATCAGACCATTCAAAACATGTGAAAATTTTATTAGTGGTAATTGTGCAAGACTCTGGGACAATATCAATAAAAGAGTTAACTGGCTAGAGAATTTCAGTCAACATCAAATCCATTCTAACGTTGCGGTTAGACTAGGCGAGCATTCGAATCGGAATAAGCAACCTTCAGCTTAGGCCCGTTTCCGAAAGCCGGTCAGCAAATCGTTTGTGCTCGAAGTTTGATTTTACGAGTATCCATTCTTAAATGGAGAATGAAGCAAGATCTGCAAAGACTTATCGACGCGGAGGTCAGTATTGTGTTGCAGGACTACCAAACGGGAAACCATGCACCAGTAGTAGTGGTACTGTCGGTATTTCAATACATCGTTTTCCAAAGAACCCGGAAGTAAGGAGCAAATGGACTGCGTTTGTTCGACGGTACCGTGTAAATTTTGATCCAGAAACGTACAGCAAAGGACCTTTTCTGTGCTCTTTACATTTCAATCCTACCTGCTTTTCGAAAGCGTTAGTATCCAATTTAGGGGACTTTGATGCAGAACACACGAAGCGTTTTCTTCTCCGAGAAGCTGTGCCAACGCTGCACAATCCTCCACAAGAAGAGACATCTTATTCAAGCAGAGAAAAACGCCGGGTAAGAAGTTTGCACTGTCAAGTTTCTGCCTGTTCGTCTATGTAGAGTTCTTTTCCAGTTAGCTAAGCATTTCCATACTCTTTGTCCTTCTAATTGTATTATGGTTGTTTAAATATTGAGAATGGTTTGTGATGCTTTTAAGACTGAAGGGTTCATCTAAAATATGTTGTACCAAATAGGCCCAAATGCTAAAGTGCTTGTTATGGTCTATCTGGTTTGAATGTTCATTTCATTTTCAACATGCTATCCATATATTGTCAAACATTATTGATTTATGTCCAGATTATTTATGTCAATGTTCCCTTTTTGATAAACTAGACTTGAAATTTTTGCATGAATAACATGAGATGGCTTGGTGAATGGTGAAACTGCAAATCATTTTTTCTTTTTAGCTGGTAAAAGAAGCAATGCAAGCTACACTTCAATTTAATGACGACAAGGCCAGTTCCACAAATGAAGCCTCTCCCATTCTGACAACAGAACCTGATCATGAGGAAAGTATATTTGATGTAGAAGCATGTCCCCTCCATCTCTCATGTGCTCCAATGACTGGTTGTCCTACTTGTTGTGATGCTGTTGGAGAAACATTAGGCTTGCCAAATTCAAGAAACAAGTCTGTTGAAGCCAAACTGCCCTGCAGTAGGTGCAAATTTTACATGCAGGAAAAAGACAGCATGAAAAAAAGGAAAAGAGGCTGAATTGCAAAATCGAGAAGCTGAAAGATGAAATAGTCTTTCTGAAAACCTGCTTGGTAAGCATTTCTGTTGATATCTAAAACACTGATGTGGCAATTTAAATGTCTTATTTCCTTTCCTTACTCAAAAGGCCAGAATCCTTCCAGTATATGTACTTTGTATAAAAACTGCCTCTTTTCATCAAGTCCTGATAACCAGATGTGATTCTTCATTCTTACTTTTAAACATCCTGTATGGTGCAGATAACTAAACAAAGTAAATGTGACAATTTATTTATGTTGATAGGCAAAAAAAACTTCACCAAACAATGAAGCTGAAGCACCAGAGGCAAAAAAAGATCAATTTGCAGCTGGGATAGACAGTGGTGACGAGAGTGATGTTTTTTCAGATGGTGATGAAGATGACATCTTTGATTTGAATATGACAAGTGAAAGTGATTTGGAAAAGGATGATGATGAGGATGACGTTGACAATGGGCACTTGTTTGATGCAACTCCAAGAAGCTACATTAGGTATATTTTGCAGAAATTCCTTACATTTCAATTAAATCACTACAACATTTATAATTCCAGTAGACTTTTTCAATTTTTTTTTTAAATTGTGCTTTGCTCATGCTGCAATAACTATAATAATTGTTAGATATACTAGTTCAAAGTTCAATTTATTTAATCTATTAGAATGTATTTTTTGATTTTGTAGAAATATGTATAATCTGAAGTTTTTTAATTAATAAATCAGAGCCTCAAAGATCACTTTTTTAATTTTAGGGTTGATCCAGCAACTCCCAAAGAAGAAGAGCCAAAGTTTATTGTTTTTTACAGTATGCTCATGAATCTCTTGTCAATGTTCTGTTTTAAATGCAAAGATAATTCCCCAACTGTAAATTTGTTGAAGAATGGAACAATGATAACTGCCATTCAGAGCTGTAACAGATGTGGAAAAGATTCCTTTGTCTGGAGATCTCAGCCTTTTTATTTTTGGAAGGTACCCGGCTGGAAATGTGCTTCTCAGCTTTGGGATATTAGCAGCTGGTGCATCAGTCAGGAAAGTATTGCTTGTTTGCAGGCACCTTGGACTCATGACCTACCAGGCACGAACTTTCTTTTTGCACCAGAGAAACTTTATTTTCCCTAGCATCATACGGCATTGGCAACTCTACTGCTCTACAACATTGAATCAAGTTTTGCAGCTGTCAGATCGCATTATTGTTTGTGGTGATGGGCGGTTTGATTCAATGGGCCATTCTGCGAAATATGGCAGCTATACTTTCTTTTGCGAAAATATCATGAAGATAGTTCACTTTGAGCTTGTGCAGGTGAGACATAGAAGCTTATAAGGACAGATATACATATGTGCACATTTTATGCAATTCTACCCAAAAGATGATTTTAAATGAAAATTTTGGAATTAACCATACATTTAATAAGGTCTTCATTTTTTGGTCTAATTGTTTCTTTGTTCCATGAGTGTAAGGAGGTACCAATTTCTCAAAAATAAGGAGGTACCAATTTCAGTTTTTGTTTCTGATCGCCACACTGGTATTGCAAAATGGATACGGGATTCAGAGAAGCAATTAAAACATTATTTTGACATCTGGCATGTTGCAAGAACAATTACAAAAAAATTATTGAAGGCAGGTAAAGAGAAGGATTGTGAGCGAATCAGTGAATGGGCATCTTCCATTCGAAATCATTTATACTGGTGTGTAACATCAACAAAGGAGGGTTTCCATGAGCTAATTGAAGCAAAATGGAAGTCAGTTATTCGCCATATTGCAAATGAGCATGAGAATCATCCAGACCCCTTATACAAAAACTGTAAACATGAAAAACTAAGGAAGAGGCATTGGATCAAAAATGATAAGTCATATAAACCAACAATTGTATATCCTAATTTCTGTTATAGGTCAGTCATGACAATTTACACTTATAAATTGGTCTTACCTAAATTCTGATTGTCATATCTTTTAAAAAATGAAAGAATACTTAAAATACAATAAAATATATCTTACAACCTTATTGACTAGTGCAGTCATTTTAGATTTTAACAAAAGATGCATCTTCATTACAAGGTACTGTCACCCACAACAAACTCAAGGCAATATTGTTGGACAAAAGACTTTTAAATGGTATTCGGCAATTATCTCCCATGGTGCAAACAAGTTGTCTTGAGGGATACCATTCAACATTGAATCAGTGGCATCCAAAAATGCTACACTTTCAATGGATTGGGACTTTCTGCAGGTAAAACTACAATATTAATTTTGAAAAAGACAATATATTCTAATAAGTCTTGATTGTTGATTCTGTAGTAGATAAAGTTTTGTTATCAAATCATAGTAACTGGTAACAAATTCAGTGCAACTCGCATTTGAAAAATTGCATTTACTCTTTCTGTAACTGCAATTTAAATTTATTTGCAGGCATATTCTGACAATTTGTCATTTTAATGAAAATTTGAAAAGGGACATTCAGAAGAAAGCTGATGGTACTGAAGTCATGCGGATATCTTGACCCAAATTCAAACTAGGGGAAGAATCAGTCCGTAAAGTCCCAGTTGCTCCAACTTATGGTAGTTATTGTATATGTTTTCACCCATAGTACAGTGGAATCTTCATTCACATCGTCTTGTTCCAAAAAGCCAAAAAGGACTAAAAGAACCTTATACAATGGACATCTCTTTTAAAATAAACAATTAAACTGGTCCAAACGGCTCCACTGTATTCCATATTTGTTTATTCCCACTTCAATTTGTATTTTTCTAACAAAGCAATAAAACATTCTGGAAGGGCTCACAGGAAGCTTTTCATCTCTTTTTGTTTAATAATAAGAATAGACTGATAAACCCTTACTGAATATATTCACATGGCTTTCTTTCAAGGGGCATAATATAATATGCATTGTGTTTTTGACAAGAACAGTTTTTGCTTCAAAACATCTGATATGGTTTCAGAAAGAACAACTTTGACCTTGCAGTGATCAATAAAAAGACAAATAATATATATCTTGCATCATTATAACTTAGAAAATGATACAACTTGTTGATACAAATGATACTCAATGATACTAATCTTTTAAACAGAGTATGTTGATACAATCAGAAAGCTGATGTTTACAATCCAAAAAGCTGAATGCAATGAAATAATGAAACAATATGAAAGGATTGCCCCACAGTTTAAAGACCTATTGCCGAAATTAGAGGCTGTTCAGAAATATTTAGAGAGGACTCAAAGTACAACTTCAATGTATCCAACAGGTAAACAACTATTTTGAATGATTTTATTTTCATAGATCAAAAAATTTTTACCTTTTTTTTTAAATTAGTCTGTGAGTAGCAAGTGTAATTATCCATCAAGTTGACAAAACAATTTGGTTATATGATGTTCTTTTTTTCCATAGAGAGGGAGCAAAGTGGCCAACAAGAACTACTTTTACACCAGGAACAGTCAACAGCAAATCGTAAAAGAAAAGCCCCAAAATGTAAAGTCTGCAATCAGCCAAAAAAAGGACACCCAAAGAAAAAATGCCAAAAATGAACCTTGAATTCTATATTAATTTATTTTAAGTAATTTACTGTCTTTCTGCTGAGTCTTTGTAACCTTTGTTTTGGCCAACTTGGTACAGTCCTCGAATATGGTTGTAAACACAAGCACATAAGGTCTTGAGTTGTCCCAACCTAAATACCCATACCACCACTTTATAATCCAGCGATAGGCAATAGCTCTGATGTATCTGTGAGCAAAAAGTCATACAACATATAGCTTATGTAACCACAGGTCTTTAAACACAATCACATATATTTTTATTTTGATAAGATGTATTTAGAGTTTAAAGAATTACATTTGAATTACACAAGAAATACTAAGCTAGGCACTTTTCCCATAAAACTGGTTGTGCCAAAAAATAACTTTTTGTTCAAAATGTAGCCTAGGTTATTTAATAATTGTTTGATTAAATTAGATTCGGTATTTGTATGAGGCAAAATATGGAATTATTTTACTTTTGTGATAGCCAAGCTTAGAGTGTTTTTCATTTCTGTTACCATTATTTCTGTAAAAATAACAGAGGAACCGATTTTAGTAAATTTTGACCTTGGCGCTAATCTCAACCCCTTCTCCCATGTTTATGAAGTTCAACCACTTATTTGAAAGAGTGAAAAATATAGAGACTTTTTTTTAGGCATGATTTTTAAGCAAGATTCTATTGTTAAAGCATGATTTTGATGCTGTCAAAATCTTGAATGAAACTTACTCTTCTTCTGACACCCCAGGTCGACGGCGGTAAGGTTTACCATCTCTTCCCTTAAACATCGGGCCTACTTGAAGAAGGACCGTTTTATTTGTCATCGCCTGATAATCAGGATGACATGTAATGCACTGGGTTGCATCTTGAATCCCTTCTGCAACTACTTTTTCATAAGCCCCAGAGACTTCTTTACAGCAACGATACTCTCGGGCGGAGACCAAGTGTTCCGAACTGCATTTTCCACATTCACACCTTGGGTATTAGAAAATAAATAGGTTTGCGGTAAGCTGGGTTCGAAAGAGTCAAAATTCAGAAGGAACGTTGGTTGAGAAAAAGGAGAAAACGAAAATGGCAAACATGAAGATTTTGTGAAGTTACCAATGATCGACAGAAACCGATCCAGCTTCTCTGTCTCTAAACTGTGACGGTCGTATCCCATCCTCATCTTCGGGATCATCATTCCCATCCGAAGTAGGCCCATCACCCTCACTGTCTGACGATGCCAATGGTTCGTCTTGGTATGGTTGAAACCTCCTCCCAATCGTTCCAAAAAGATCTTCCTCGTCAGTACTTGAAGAAATATTGTAGTTCTCACGTTCGCTTTCGCTGGAATCGGCCATTTTCTTGCAGAACACAACGACGGTACACGATTCTCCTAACACTAAACTGAGCCGTCTATTGTTTGTTTGATTTTCGTGTCCAACACTTTACGTAACAACACTACGCTCGTCCCAGATCCCCGCGCCGTTTTTTAAAAACTTTCATACCCCCAAAATCGTGATTTTTGCACAGATATTTGAAAAACTGAGATTATTTTCGAAATCAGTGTATTTTTTAGCCCCGGTAAATGCGGTAAAAAAATTCGTTTCATATTCACTTTAAACTTATTTTCAACTTTTTCATAATTACTTTTTGCACTCAGTTACTTCATATATTTCTTTTAAATACTTGTATAACCAACGAGAAACTCATGTCCACTGCCAATCCACTGTTATCGCAATGCAGAAGTTGACACAATTTGTAATGATTAAAAGGGCGGGAAAATCAAACATACGTCACTTGCGAAAATTTCTTTGTTGTGGCTGAAAAATTTTCGTTATACTCGCATGTAATTAAAATGGGAAAATTTTCCAAAAATTGGGCAAATGAAAGACACGACGTTTGGAGAAGTATGTCTCCATTAATGGTTAATTTAAAAGCAAGAGTCGGCACTTCTAACCCTTTTTTCAAAGCTTTCAAGCAAAGGATTCGAAGAGGGCAAAATATCACATCTGCACAGACTGTCTCAAAAATGTTGGAAGAAACGCGAATTCACTTCTACTTTGCCAGAGAGATAAGAGAATCTCCCGTCATATTCAACAGTAAGTATTCAAATAACAAGAATATCAATGCTCCTACCAATTTCATACCAAGTACACAATACTTCCAGTTGCCACTTTTGACTTTGTCTATTTATACTTTTTGCTTCTGTAAGACTTAACTATCATATTCTGAATAGTATACAAATAGATAAAAAACATATTAAATATGTGGCTGGTTAAGGGGGAAGGTGCTCTAGATAAAATTATGTTATTTGCAGGGTAAAGCGGGGATCATTTTTTGGGGAGAGGGTACTATTTACTAAAGATACTTAGGTGGTTGAATATATCTTAAAGGGCTAAAGATATTTTAGAAAGCTATAGATATTTTGGTTCACTGCAGATATTGTTGAGGCATAAAGAAGTTTTTTTGGGGCTTCAGCTATTTTTTCAGGGGAGGTTGTTAAGGATACTTTAGGGGGAGAGGGGCAAATATATTTTTCTGATAAATCTGGTGCTTCGGAAGGCAACAGTTTCATGCCACTGTGCACCAGACCTTAAAAGAAATTAAATGAATTGACTACAGGGTTGAAAGAAGTCTTCAATTACAAAATTTTGGTAAATAAACTTAAGAAAATATGTTCAAAGATGATATTATCTGATTTTCAGCTGATGAATGCATTGCTGATGTTGAATCTGAATCATCTCAGTCCCAAGATACAGAATCAGCTTTCAGCATAAAAAATGAAAATGCTTCTGACTTTAATCAGATTGATGATGATTCTCAGGAAGGTCCCAAGCCCTTGAATTTTCAGACAAAAACAGTTAAAGGCGAAACATTCATCTTGTTCCTGAGTTTCTTGTCAAGTTTGTCCCAACATATCCAGTTGAAGAACATTACCTTGAAGGAGTAGGTGTTGTAGAAGTTGGAGAAAGATTTACATACATTCATTGCTGATGCTATTGATAGGAAAGCACTTTCAATCCTCATGATTGACGACTTTACTGACATCCATACAAAAAGGAGGCCAACTAGTCACATTACATCTAAAGCAAGGAACATGGCAACAATACTAATAAAGCGGTTCAGTGATGGCTCTGCTATTCCAGCTGACCAACATGTAAAAAACCCAGATGGTATTTGTCAAGATATGTTGCTCGATTTCACCACAAAGATGCTCTCATCTCTTTCAACAACCTTTGCATCATCAACGCAATACTGGATAAGAACAGCATTCTTTGATCCTGAAATGGAAAGATCAAGAATTGAGATCCACGATTATCACAAACATCAGACAGGAGAACGAGCAATGAGAAAGATGGATGGCTGCAAACTAATCGATGAGCTTGAAATCCCACTAAAAGGTTTTCACAATTTCCATCAAGCTGCATGTCATGTCATTGATAATGGACTGGATTCGTACCTTTCACATTTCATATGTCCCCAGCCAGGAGACTGGCCTGCCCAGCTCTACATGAGGCAAGTACAACTACACGCAAAAGAATCTGACAGTTATGCATTTTTTCAACATATAGTTCCTTTCATCCGCCCTCTGCATATCCAACTTAATGCTAGAGAATGTGTTTGTCTCCTTAATATTGAATTTTTTAAGAAGGCATATACTTACATCTTTGGTGAAAATAAAGTTCTTGCCAATAAGCCACAGGCATGGAGGATTTATTTCCTTCTTGAGGTTTTGTATGGTGGTTGGACTTTGATAAGGGATCAGATTATTGTTGCATTTCAAATTGCAAAGATATCCAGTATCTAACCTTACTCAATCTACTTGACAACTATATTCCTCTTGTCCTTTCCATCTACTCTGTGATCTTCAAAAGTGGCAATACTGAAATGTTTGCTAGCTCTCTGTTTTGGTTATAAATGTTCTTCTGTTATAAAAGACACCATTATGACAAAGCTCCATTGGTGTGGCTGAGCAATTTCTTGTATTGGAAGTCTATAGATCGTCCACTTTATCACACATTGATGAATATGCTCAATGCTTTTGATGAATACCCTGTCGAGAATTTTCATTCACACCTTTGTGCTGAGACTCAAGACCATGACTGTGGTGATATGCTTAGAAAGAAAGCCAAAGGGCTAGACAGCAGGAAAGATGCATCATTGAGTTTCGTATCAACATTCGTTGTGCCAAAGAAGTACACGTTTAAGAGAGGAAGACTTGAGCAGTTGAAAATGGTAGCAGCAAAGTTTTTAATCACAGTTCTGGAAGACATCAAAGACCATCCCAACAATGCATCAGAAGTACCAAGACCTAGAGGGAAGAAAAAGAATTTCAGTTATTGGAAATTGCCACAGATCTATGGAGAAGAAAATGTTGTTGCCTCAAAGGTTCTACCATTGGGATTCCAGTTTCCAGGAAAGGAGCCAAATGCATCCAGGTCTGTATAATTAGTTTTTGCTTTTACTAAGATAAGGCATCTTGGTCAGGGGATTCACTTATTGCAGGTATTGTCTTTTGTCTATTTTGACACAGGAATTATGAAGTTAACCCCTGGATTTCTGGGATGTCATTATAGAGGTGTCATTTTTGTAAAAGTAGCAATTCCCTTCATTTATACTTTGGGGTATAACCAACTTAGGTCCCCTATAAATACGCCCCTGACCAACTACATTTTATTCTTCTCACTTTAAGACAACATAATCAATAAAGAATATACCGTTAAACAATACTTAACCTTTTGAAATATCTTTTTATAGGAAATGTGATAGGCCAGATTGCCCAAAGGTGTTCCAAGAATTCCATATTTTCCATGGCTGTGGACATTCCTTTCACACAAGCTGTCTAAATTCTGGAAAAATGGTATGCTTGATTTGCTCAAAAGAACTTGCAAATTCGATGAAGGTGCTCTCTGAGAAAGCTTGTGATGGACTACACCATCATGAAGACGACGATGACAGTATTGTTGCCAATGAAATTGATGCCAACTGTGGTGACGATGAGGATGAGGAGAGTGGAGTTGAGGAATTAGAGAAACAAGAGCCTCGCATCAGCTGTACACTCCTTCAATTGAAGCAGCAAATCTTCAGCTGGAGCCTTATTCCCGGCCAAAAATGAAAGGGAACACACACATAGTAGTTGTGCCATCGACGAATAAAACGGTTTTTTTAAAAACCACCATCAATGCCGATTAGACAATATACACGTCAACACACACGATAATATAATGTAAACAAGCAGTAAAAGGCCACAATCCGCGCTTATTGAATCCTACTAATTACAATCAGTGCGAGTACACTGAACACACACACCAAACAGCATGCTTGCGCGCATCATATGGTCTCTCCTCCCTAATTGGGGGGATCATTAGGGAAAAAATTTACTGAGCACAAAGGAAATTTATCAGACACTTGATTTTTAAAAACATAGATCATTTTCAACACTCTTTAGACGATTAATTTTTTTCAAAATACACTTTACACGTTTGATCTTTTTCTTTGGAATCGTAAAAACGTGTAAATAAGGCCCAAGCCAAGATTCGAGGCACGTTTCCCGCCCTTTTATCATCGGGTCAGCTTTTGCATTGCGATAACAGTGGATTGGCAGTGTACATGAGTTTTCTCGTTGGTTTTACAAGTATTGAAAAGAAATATACGAAGTAACTGAGTGCAAAAAGTAATTATGAAAAAGTTGAAAATAAGTTTAAGTGGATTACATTAGTTGAGATGCTGATGCTACTACGATTTTACGAGATAGAAGAGCTGCATTTTGTTTTGGTAAAATGTAGCGTTTTTCCACGTAAGTTTCATAGACATTCCTGCCGATATGCCAATATATTGCCATGTATTTGTTATGGTGAGTTCTAATTTGTTGATTACGTAGATAAATAGCTTTTAACATTCAAGCAGTGTGAGTTTTAAAACTTCCTTCGCTGTCATTGGGGGGATGGTAAACTGCTAACTTCAAGCCTCCGTAACTGACGATCGCAGAAAAATTTTTAACTGAGTACAACGGCAGTTTTTTTCTAAATTTATCAAAGACTAGATCTTTAAAAAAAAATTAGGTTATCTTGCAACAAATTTTACACGTTTATTTTTTTGTGGGTAGTGGTAAAAACGTGCAAAATGGGCCTAAATCTAGCTGCGAGACACGTTTGTTGTCAAATTCTTGAACTCCGATTGGTCAATATGGTATAGAGAATTTGAATGTAATCAGAAGTCTTAGCCAATCAAAGATTTGGAACCTATGCTACCCTCAGCATGTTCTCATTTTTTATAAGTTTGAATCACTTTTGATGCTCGTGTTCTATGAAATTCTTCTTATAAAAAAGAATATTTTGACAACAAGAGGGTGCACCAAGATCAGGAGTATTAATTTTGCAACATGCTGCACAATGAATAAACTCTGTACCTTTTTATATTCTGATTTGTCTTTTCATCTAAACCATTTGTCTAGGAATGGTATGCTGCTGTCATCTTGTGGTTTACACCAAAAATTTCGTAAAACTCTTTCTTCGATTAGAGAAAAGAAAGATCAAAACATGTTGTTGTTGTAGTTGTCCTTCAGGTCGTTCGACCCCTGGTGATGTTATGAACCTGACGTCTCCATTCAGCTCTATTTTTAGTGTCTTTGTTGAGCTGATAAACATTTCTTGTTGTCATCGCCTTAATGTTGTCAAACCACTTTGTTGCAGGTCTTCCTCTTCCTCTTTTCCCTTCAATTTTTCCTTGCATTATCAGTTTTTCTAAACTGTTGTCTGCTCTATTTATGTGGCCATAATAGGTTAATTGCCTCTTTCTGATGGTGTTGAATAATGATCTTTCTGTTTTTATTTGGCCTAGTACCCATTCATTTGTTCTTCTAGATGTCCACGGCACCCTTAGGAGTCTTCTCCATACCCAAAGTTCAAAGGCTTCAATCTTTTTCATTTCTGCTTTTCTTATTACCCATGTCTCACTTCCATATGTAACAACAGAAAATACTAATGCTTCAATTATTCTTATCTTGGTATTTAGTGTGATGTTTTTGTCTTTCATTATCGTTGTCAAATTGGTCATAGCCTTCCTACCCAGGTTCCCCTTCCTTTAGTAAATCCAGCTTGCTCAATTGATATTTCTCTGTCAATATAGGGTGTTAGTCTTTTTTGGATTATTTTCAGAAGTATTTTGCTCATGTGAACAATTAAGGATATTGTCCGATTATTTGAACATTCTCTAATATCACCTTTCTTTGGCAGCGACAAGAAGACAGATCTTTTCCAATCTACTGGCCATTCAGTGGTTTTCCAGATTAGCTGACACAGCTTGCATATGATGTTGAGTGTTTCCTTGCCAGTATTTTTTACCAGTTCAATGGGTATGTTGTCAATACCTGGAGCTTTATTACACGCAACTTCTTTAATGGCATGTTCTATTTCTGCTAGAGTTGGTTCCGGTTCTTCTGTAAATTCTTCTTCTGTGAAATCATTGGATATGTCTGCATCCCTGCTGTACAAGCGTTGTGTGTATTGTTTCCATCTCTCCTGTATTTCTTTCCCCTCTGTGAGTACTTTACCATTTTGGTCTTTCACTGTTGCCATGCGAGGTGTAAACTTTCCTGTGATCTGTTTGATAGCGCGGAATACATTTCTTGATTTTCCTTTTGCTTGATTTTCTTCCATATTCCTACAAATATCATTCAAGTATATTTCTTTATCTTTCCTTGCCTGATTTTGAAATACTCTGTTCAAGTTATTAAATGTGGATAAATCTTTTTGTTTTTTAGCGTTTCGTCGTTCTTCAGCAATCTCTATAGCTTTCTGTGATAACCAATGTGATTTTCTTTTTCTCTCTTTCTTAGGAATGTTTTTTCCCGCAGTGTCAACGATGATATCTTTTGTTGTCTGCCATAATTGCTCAACACTAGTGTCCTGTGATTCTAGACATGAGAAACGATTCTATAGCTCGATTGTAAAGTTTGGCAGTATCTTTGTTAAATCATATCTAGCTTGCGCATGTTGCTGTCTTATCTTTTTTGCTTTACTTTGATAGTGGCGTGAAGCAGCTCATGATCTGTTCCACAGTCAGCTCCAGGAAGAGTTTTGACTGCCTGTATCGCACTTTTCCATCTCTTCCTGCCCAAGATATAGTCAATCTGATTCCTATAATTACCATCTGGTGATGTCCATGTATATAGTCTGCGTTTGTGTTGGAAAACATAGTGTTGGCTATGAACAATTCGTTTTCAATGCAGAATTCTATTAATCGTTCTCCTGCAGCATTTTGCTCTCCTAGTCAAAATCCAGTGACTCCTTTTTCTTCATTATTTCCCACTTTTGCATTCCAGTCTCCAATTAAAAACAACATATCTTTCTTTGGTATATTATCTAGCACTTTCTGTAGCTCTGTGTAAAACTGTTCTATTGCATCATCATCGGCATCTGTGGTTGGTGCATATATTTGTATTATGCTGGTGTTGAAAGGATGTCCTTGAAGTCTTAATGCAATTATTCTGTCATTAACCATGTTATATCCTAGCACTGATTTGCTTATCTTTTTATTGACAATAATGGTAACTCCATTTCTCTTGTATTTTTGGTGTCCTGAGTAGTACACTGTGTGATCACCTTTTCTAATATCCCCACACCCTGTCCATCTCATTTCACTTATTCCGAGTATGTCTAAGTTTATTCTGTCCATTTCATTTATTACAACTTCCAACTTTCCTTGATTCATCGTTCTAACATTCCAGGTTGCAATTGTGTGGTTTTTGTTGTTGCGGAACTGCTTTGGTTTTTCATCCTCTGCAGTGTCAGCTATCATACGCCCTAATGGGTTTAGTACAACAGCTTCATTATTGCTAGAATTACTCAATCCAGAGCTGCACCCTTCCTCAGTAGCAAGTTGAGTGCCATCCGACCTGAGGGGCACATCTTCAGGCACTATAGCTTTTGCCTATAGCACCTGAGGGACTGGCATTTTCATAACATAAGATCAAAACATAATCAAAGCCATTTTTCGATTTTTCAGCCTACAAATCTGTATTGGCAGAGATGTGAAAAATAAAAGAACAATATCCGCTTTAAAGATGTATTATTGTGAAAAAATAATTGGATTTAGACACTGTGTAAGAACTCTAGCAATAACAACAGAGGCTTAGCAATATCTATATACAGAAACCACACTTTGTTGATTCCATGGGGACTTGAAATAATGAAAAATGGAGGACAAGGCAAATTAAAAATTATTAGCATACTATTTTGCCAAAAGCTCCATTCTTTCAGAAAAAAGTGGTTGTGGGGTGTCTAGATTTGGATTGGTATCAGATCAAGTCAGTACACTCGTGTTGAGAACTTAGATAAATTGCATAATCTCTTCCTCAGCCAGGTAAAACTTGTTTAGGGGACACATGGCGGCAAAACAACTTCACCAAGCAACATGCAACTTCTTTCACTGACTTTCTTGATATTGCAAATGCTTCTACCCACTTTGTGAAGTAATCGGTGCATGTTAAAATGCATTTTGCCTTATCCTGTCATAGGTTAGGCACCCATCAAGTCGATTCCAATCATCTGCCAGGGCTTTGTCACCTTGTTAAAAAGTTGCCACTTGATGATCTATTGTTACAGATTTTTACACAGTATTCTGAAAATCATTTGATTCAGATTCAAAGATTTTTTTAAAAAAAACAATAAGTTTTTTCTTTTGCACACATCTACAGTTTTTAGAGAGTCAATAAATGTCCTTTCAATGATGAAGCCACGATTGGAAAGAAATTAGAATTTGAAAGTGCTACCATCAACTTGTCCTCAATGACCATTGCTAAAAAGCTCAAATTAGTCAAATTAGTCAAATTAGACCATGCAAACAATTTAGCAATATCGCAATAATTACCTTCTAGTGTCAATTAATAGAATTGATAGCAATTGTCTGCTCTCTGCGGCAATCACAGATTCATAAAGTGTATTCCAAATCCAACAACAAATATTGTTCCCTCTTTCAATTTCTGGTTTTGACACGATTATAGGGCCAGTATGGGGTGCCACCAAGCTGATCGGCAACAGGACCTGCTCACCATAAATGCTCACCATTGACAAGTAACGAATAAATGCTCACCATTCCAACCAAACAAAAAAGAGCATGGCTCACAAACATGCACACCACATACCTCAAAGGACACCATCTTTTCAATTGCTTCTACAAGATTCGCCATACCTTTCTCGGAGAATACAGTGTGTTCTACTGGGATGTCAAAAGACAGAGATAGAAAAGAGACAAAATCCAGTTCCTTTAAAAGTTGATATGCCTCCATTGGCTTATAGTCGCAGTTTTTTTACCTGAATCTGTTGACAGCTCTTGGAAAGTTTCATATAACATCTTCAGCCACGTATATGCTCATCCTTGAGGCTTTGCATAATCTCAGCTTCCTTTGAAAAATCTGTCCAATTTCATCTCATTGGTTTTTGGGCAGCATTTTTACAGCAACTGTTTATTGTGATACAGTCTCTTGCACAACAGTAACAGCACATATTTAGACGCAAAGTTGCCATTTTTCTCAAAATTGGTCTACGTGGTCAGTTGACACCTTTTTGACCCGTGACTGCAGAAGGTTTGCAAGCATCCTGATATTGTCAATAATGGCGGAAAGTAAACAGTCAACACACTTGAAGCCTTCTCGATGAGGCAGCAAGTTTTGGGCTGCTGGCATTCCCAATGTTATTAGCTGTCAAAATACTGCAAAGATGAAACTTCTACCAAAATGGGTAACCTTCGTGAGAAGACATTGCCATAATTGTAAGCCAACTTCGACATCAGTACTCTGCTCTGTACTATTCGAGCCTACATGCTATGAAAGGCGGCTGGACAACGCTGGTATACCCAGTGAACAGCACCCTGGAGGACTGCAAAACATGTTGTTTGCTTCATGTTGTTTTCGCTTAATATTTTCTGTGTATTTGCGATAGGCTGGACGTGATCTTTTCGAAATGTAATTAAAGACTTAGTACCAAGGTTTGGTAGGCCAGTTCCACAGCTGTGCATGATAACAAATAAAGTGATTGACTTAATGGTTGAAACACACGGGCAGCTCTTGAGAAGTCTAAACCAGGCTTTTCTTTCAAGAGAAAATTTACAAAGATATGCAGATGCAATTTACCAGAAAGGCTCTGCTCTCGATAACTGCTGGGGTTTCATCGATGGTGCTGTGCGACCTATTTGTAGGCCAAAACAAAACCAACGAGTACTTTACAATGGGCATAAGAGAGTACATGCGATAAAGTTTCAGTCAGTTGTTGCACCGAACGGTATAATTGCTAATTTTTTGGACCAGTTGAAGGAAGGCGACACGACAGTGGGATATTGGCAATGTCTGGTTTGTTGGAGGAGCTGGAGACATATTCTTTATCACCAACATTTCATTTAATTTCATATTGATAATTCAAACTTTTAATTACAATATACTGATAATACGATTTAATATTAATTAGGTAAGCTTAGGACATTTGGAAAAAAAACAGAAGAGCTAACAAGCAAAGTGCGATATGAATGAAACAAATAATGTTAATAGTAACATAACAATAACAGCTAAGAAAACAAGATTAGATAAAATTTTATTTATTTAACTAAGCAAAATGGAACTAAAGTAACAGGATTAGGTTTGGGAAATCAGGATACTTGCTAGTTTATTATTCAAAATTAAAATTAAAATCAAAAAATTAAAAGACCAAAGTACAGATGTTTATTAAAAAGGATTTGAGAAGGATTTTTTAATTAAGACTATATACAAATATGAATATCATCCTGCCTACCCTCACAGAGTCCACCTCCAATGCCCGTTTGCAAGGAGAGCCTTCAATCAATCTTTGAGCCAGGTTAGAGTCTGAGTTGAATGGGTCTTTGGCGACATCGTAAACTATTTTAAGTTTACCGATTTCAAGAAAGACTTAAAGATTGGACTCAGTGCTGTTGAAAAGTTTTATATTGTGTGTGCATTTCTTCGTAATGCAATGACTTGCCTCTATGGGAACAGCACATCCAAATTTTTTGATGTTCAACCTCCAGCCCTTGATCGATATTTTAGCAAGGAGTAATTCCTTCATAAAGGTTTATTTATAAACCACAAACAGCTTTTTTAAAACCTACCAAATTCGCAGAAAGTTTTTCACAAGTAACAGACACGACAAAAATCAATTAAGGATTTAAATAGAAGAAAATTAAATTTTTAAATACACAGCCAGCACTACAGCAAAAATTTGAAACTAAATATCTTGTCAAATATAATTATTGCCATTTCCCAAGCGAACCTGTTGCTCAATATTTTTTCCATAAACTCCAACAATTCCCCACCTCTTTTGGCCCTGTCCTCCTGCTGTTTTTCAAGAATAGCCAGCTCTCTTTCTTTTAACTTAAGTTCATACTTCTTTATAAGAAACATGTCATTATGTATCCTTTCTTCCCGCTCTAATTGTCTCTCTCTGATCTCAATATCAACCTTTTTTGGCTTTCTTCTCTAGTTTCTTTATCCTGTAAATACTCAACCATGTCAATTCCAGATCTCTTTTTTTTCTTTGAACTTTCTAGGCCCTCTCTGTCCCTTGTCTGAGACAGTCTCTCCATTGATCTTTCCTGACACTCTCTGCTGTTTCTCTTTCTTTTTCAGACTGTTTATTCTTGTTATTTTGGGATTCCATCAGTTCCTTTTCTGCATTTTCAGATGCCTCTATTATATTTTCGATGGCTTCATCAAGCTCACGTACTTCAGGGCTAATTCCACTCGCTGTTTCTTCCTCCCTCAAAAATTTTTTAAAGGCCTTTTCTAATTTAGCATATCTCTCCCTTACACTCCTCTGATCTACAGCGAATGTAATTTGTTACACCAAATTCAATGACTCGGCAACCTTATCCCATGCCTGCCCCCTTTCCTTAGAGCAAAACTTGAATTCAAATGGCTTGGCTACTAGAATTCATCTTGTCAACAAAACATCATGCTCTTTAGTCCATACCATTTCAGGCCTATAGAAAGATATACTTAAAATCTACAAGTTGGAGATAACATACAAAAAGACAAGAATATGAAACTTTTGCAATCTGTTATCTTCA